AGGCTCCCTGGAGCATCTCCCAGATAAAGCAGCGGCAGTCGTCTTGTATGGTGAATACCAATCAGTCTGGTGATGCAGCGTCAGAGCTGTGAGCGGGCCTACAGTCACCCAGGGAGGGGGTTTATGGGTAGTGGCTCATTTTATTCCCGATTTATACAGGTGATACACAATTGTCTACCGTGCAATCATATAATCGTCTGCTTTATGCAAAATGAATGTTTCAGTTTTGTGTTCTTGCTTGCAAGATGAATCGCTGGCATCTTTTATCTCTCAGGGGCTCCATTGGCGAGATACTGCCATTTCCAGCTCAGCTATACTGCCAGGGCCAGCACAAAGCCAAATGATGGACTCACTTATATAAACACACAGAGGCCCAATATTGGAGTGTAACTCACTAGTATCTGCCAAAGTCCAACTACGGGCTTTGATTACTTAACCACTTGAGTCCCAGCCTGTATTTACCCCTTCATCAGTTTTCAGAGATGTGATGGTTTGAGTGACAATTACTCCACCATGCAACACTTATATCAGTTTTTTTGAGACGAGTAGAGCCTTTTTTGTATTTTTTTAAACAAATTTGTTTTTCTATTTTATAATATATATAGGAAAAAGACCTTAAAGTGGTTTTGCATTCTATGCATGAATGTAAAAAACCTTCTCTGTGCAGCAGCCCCCCCCCCCCCCCCCAGTCCCGTCAATACTCACCTTAGCCCCCTCTAATACTCACCTAAGCCCCCTCTCGATCCAGCGATGTGCAGCCAAGTCTTGGCTATCCCGGGACTACTTCTTCTTATTGGCTGGGACAGAAGTGTGAGCCATTGGCTTCCACTGCTGTCAACTACAGCCAGTGAGCCAAGGAGAAAAGAGAGAAGGCAGGGCTGAGATGCGGCTCCTCATGTGAATAGACACACAGAGCAGTGGGTGCCCCCATAGAAAGCTGCTTGCTGTAGGCACTCGACAGGAGAGAGGGGCCAGGAGAGCCTATGGGGGACCCAAGAAGAGGAGGATCCAGGCTGCTCTGTGCAAAGCCACTGCACACAGTAGGTAAGTATAGACATGTTTGTCATTTTGTCTTTAAAAAAAAATGCCTTAAGAATCACTTCAATATTAAAAAATGGATATGCAGGATAGTGCAGACACCCCTAAAATGCCCCCTTCTTTGGACACCCCAATGTGGTTTCATTTTTTGCTGCAGTTTTTTGTAGTTGAAGAAACATGAAGGTATTGAGGAGGTTAAAGCAAGGAGCTTGGTAATGATGCACTAGAGGGAGCACATACTGGTCAGGAGGAGGAGGCGAAGGGGTTAATGTACAGGTCACATAAAGAGTGAGGATGGGGTTAATTGCAGAAAAGCAGGATAAAGGAGGTGAACGGTTAAAATACAGGTCTTTGAAGAGACAGCATGGAGATGAAAAGCATAGAAGAGGAGGAAGTATGAAAGGGTAAAAAAAAAAACTTGCTGCTGGTAACTGTACAGTACAGTAATTTCTTCATTAGTTTCTGATTCCTCCCCTTCCTCTCTTATGAGAGAAAGGGGAGGGCTCAGAGATGTAAACACTATACTGTTTATATCATATAATCGCTGTGTTTGGTCTCTGTATAACTAATCACAGCTGATCTCAAGGTACAGAGCCACTCAGATCAGCTCTGTACGCAGTGTCATTGAACCAACCCATCCATGTTCAGCTTGGTTAATAGGATTTAATATGCACATTGGTTGCCCGCTGGTTATTTTTGCAGAGCTGTTTATAAATTATATTGGAGCTGAAGAAACACGCATCCACCACTTCACTGTTTAAAGATATACATTGGTAGGCAAGTGTTTAAAGATGATCATTTCCTGGTCACTAAAATCTCATAAAAGTTTTAAAGGTCATTTGAATTTTTTTTTTATTTCATTAAATGGTGATCCTGCCATGAAGGTCTTCCCTTCAGGCACTTGGGTGACAACACTCTGTCCTTATCTTCAAACTGTTCTCCTGCGTCATCACCCTGTCACATGTTCCCCTAAAGAGAGACCACAAGTGGCTGCACTGACACATACTGCATAGGCACAGTTCTTCCTGTGATAAAGAATCATATCTGACTTCATAGCAATCATATAAGAGTTATCAAGCAGATACACATTCACTTTATCCATATGTATTTGTCAAATGCTATTCTAACCTTTATAAATCATTATTTAGGCAGACAGTGCTGGGCCCCATAGCAGTTGCATGGTTTGGCATAGCTATAATTGTGCCCAGAGAGTAAACAAAAAAACCCTTAAAATGCTACTAAACCCACAACAGTAAAATCAGTCTGTATATGCAGTAAAGCATGCTTGTTATACTCACTGTGGAACCTAAGGGGTTAATCCTCTGCATTGTGTAAAAATACCATTTGATCCTGTTTTCTCTGCCCCTCCTCTTGTTCAAATGTCCACACCTTATCTCCTGATAAGACAGATTGAACCTGTAGCCACATACAAATGCTCAGTTTAATGTGTATTGCTAGAGAGTTATTTTTTCTTGGGAGAGTGCATGTGATCAGCACAGGGCCAATCAGCACTATCCAGACGGGGTCAGGGGTCCTGCATCATCCTAGAACAGAAAGAAAACTTTTCCTACAAGCTTTAACCAGTGCTCTGATGAAGTCCCAAGACTGCTCTAACTGCTGGTGAGAAAAGGTATTTAACAGTTTATATTTACTAAAATAATTGCACTTCCATGTTGTGTGTACCGTGGGAGACCAGATATATTGAATGCAGGGTCCTGGGTTCAGGAGCACTTTAACATTACTCCACCCACAACTAGTCAAGGTCTTCTTTAGGCTAGGCTCACATTTGCCCACAGTCTACAAGCTAGTTGCTGGTGCAGGAATCGCACCAGTTCCCACATCTGCAATCACCCGCAGCCAAATCAAGCTCATTCTGAATGGCACCCCCCCCATGCAACTCAGCCTGCAGAACGTTTGCAAGTGCGGGAACCACAGGGAAACTGCAGGGTCAGAAAGATAATGCAGTTTTCCTTCTGCTGCATTTTTTAAAAAGATGCAAGCACCTTTTTTTTCTGTGGGGTACACAGACACAGCAGTTCATTCAATTAAAAGCGCTGTCGTGCCTGAGCAAATGCAGGTAGTATAGTAGTGTGAATCTAGGCACAGGTGTCAAACTGGCGGCCCTCCAGCTGTTTCCAAACTACAAGTCCCATGAGGCATTGCAAGATTGACAGTTACAAGCATGACTCCCAAAGGCAGAGGCATGATGGGACTTGTAGTTTCACAACAGCTGGAGGGCCACCAGTTTGACACCCCTGAATTCTAGGGTGATCAGTGATTTTCCATCCTTAACTACAAACAGGTCTTTAGCTCATATCTTTAGGCAAGCGTACAGAAATTTGTATGGCGACTCACGGGTAAGACCAGCTTGACCCGGTAAAAGTTTTTCCGTCGTTACCATTTTAATATAGATTACATTTCCTGTCTGCTGAGCATCTTCAATTGAACTTACCTTTAGCGGCTCAAAGACAAAAGTCTTTAGCACTTGACTGAATGCCGACGTTTTCAAAGTGAAGCCAAACACATGCTCACAGCTTGATAAAAATCAATTTTCTACTGATCCCAAATCCACTCGCTTTGCCTAATCTCTAATCAGGATATATTCATGCGGATGTAACGAGGAATCCAATTTCAAATAATTACACTCACAATAAGCCATCTCACCTTGCAGTTTCAGCCTACTGTACCACTGATACAGAGAAATATGGTCACTTGCAGTTGCTAATAAGTTGAGTCTGCAAGAATTTTGTTCTACTTTTATACTGAGTTTACTCTTTAATGCTGAGCTCCAGGCAGATATAAAATGCACAAAGCAATGCAGCTCTGTCATTATTTATACATCATTAAATGTCTTTTATAATGTAAGCAGTGCAAGTACCTGTATTTCACTTGGTGTCAGTCTCTTGTAGACTATGGTATAGCAGAGCTTTGAGAAAGTGAGGGACACACAGCACAATGAACCAGCCAGGCAAAGCTAGGAGCATACTGATAGGAGGAGAGAGCAGAGTTCATCAATGTTCTTCCACATTTACTGTTAAGGCCCCATGTACATGGGACATTTGGAAAACACTTCTGAATGATGGGAACTGCTGGAAAACGTAGGGTAAAAAACGTCTGTTTAACCACATTTTCACACCGCATTTATACGCATTTATGTGCGTTTGCGTTTAGAAGAGTTTTTTTAAAGATAAGATCAGGAGACCTTCCAAAATTCCCAGAATGCACTGAAAAACAGTAAAGAATTAAGTATTTCAGACATTATGAGAGAAATAGAGAGAGCAGAAGCAGAGAGAGCAGTATGTGTTGAGATGACCTGTCTTTTCTGGTTGTATTCACTATGGATCCCATCATGAGTATAATGCAGCACGTTCTACCATTTTTTCCTTCACGCAAAACCTGGAACTGACTGCGCTGGTGTACCGGGTCCATTTGAATACATGGAAATTGCTTTGCATGCATTTCTGATGATGAAAAAAGGCTCTGGACAGCATCTGGGCATGGAACAGTTATAAAACGCCTCTAAATGCAAATGCTTATAAACGCGGTTAGCCGCGCTTACAAGCATTTGGCATTTGAAACGCTGATAAAATCTACTCCTGATCGCAAGTTTGGCGTGTTCAAAAAAAGACTGTAAACTCAGCTGCCTGTAAACGACTGTAAACAAGAGAGTGTACATAAACACATAGGAAAACATTAGGGAGAGTTCAGGGGCTGCTGAAAAAAATGCAGAAAAGCTCCTGAACGTCAGTTTATCAGCTGCAGTGTACATGAGCCCTAAGAGTTGGAGTGGGGACACATTTTCCTTTATTTTCTCCTGGTAATCCTGCCAGTAACACTTCCTGTCATAGGGTGACAACACTCCTTGAAATGTATCTAAGACTCACTGAAATGTATCTAAGAAGCAGCAGTATAACACAAGGGTGGGAAGTATGTTAAAGTGTTACTAAACCCAGGACTCAGCATTCACTATATCTGGTCTCCCACAGTGCACACAACATGGAAATGCAATTAGTTTAGGTAAATATAAACTGCTAAATACCTTTTTCTCATCAGAGTTGGAGCTTGTGACTTCAGCAGAGCACTGGTTAAATCTTCTAGGAGGAGTTTTCTTTCTGCTCAAGGAGGATGTGAAACCTCTGACCCTCTGTCTGGACAGTGCTGATTGGCCCTGTGCTGATCACATGCACCCTCCCAAGAAAAAAAAAAAACCTCTCTAGCAATACACACCAAACTGAGCATGTGCATGTGACCATGGGTTCAGTCTGTATCAGGTGGTCATTTCAACAAGAGGAGGGGCAGAGAAGAAAGGATCAAACAGCCTTTTTACACAATGCAGAGGATTAACCCCTTAGGTCCCACAGTGAGTATAACAAGCATGCTTTACTGCATATATAGACTGATTTTACTGTTGCGGGTTTAGTAACACTTTAAGACTACAGAGCCCCTTCCTCTTTTCTCATCTCAGTAGGGGGAGATGTTCTATAGTCCACAGAGACAAACTGGGTTAAAGTGGTAGTAAAGCCCCATTGTTTACTTGTACCTACAGGTAAGCTTAAAATTAGGCTTACCTGTAGATACAGTAAATATCTTGTATTTATTCTTGTATTGAACTGTATTGTTACTGTACTGTCTCCCTCCATAATGTAAAGCGCTGAGCAAACTGTCGGCGCTATATAAGTCCTGTATAATAATATCTCTTAAATGTGCACCATTTAGGAGATATTTACTATAGTAGCAGCCAGCGACTTCAATGGCATGCTGTCCATTGAGAGAAAAAAATAAATCAACTGTATAAAAATAAGGATCAAATACACACACCACACAAAAACACTGAAAGAAATAAACTGAACCCCCCTCGATACACCCCAAAACACACACACACCCTCTAAATATAAAAAAAATAGATTTATTTTCTTTTTAAAAATTTTACCATAGTAGCTCAATGAGAGCCATTTTTCTTTTCACTTCAGAAAAATGTTGAGAATTTTGCAGTGAAATCAATTTCATCGATACAGGTATGTGGTTCTTGATGATAGGTTCACATCTATACAGATTGCAGTTGCTGTATTTTTCAGGTGCATTTTTCATTTTTTTCACATCTGTTTTTGATGAGTCTTTTTTGCATTTTTATGCATTTTGTTTTTTGTGCTTTATGTGACTTTAGCTGGTTGTCAAGGAGCAGGTGGCTGGCAGAATCCTTAACAACCAGTAAACAACGCTTTAAGGACTGCTCCCCCGCTCCCCATTAGGGATTGGCACCTTTGGGGGGCTAGGGGGAACGGGTACCCGAATTTGACAGGTACCCGCTCCCACTTTTGGTCCGATCGCCTAGGCGATCGGAAACAGAAGGTGTCCTCCCTCCCTCCCTGTAGTCTTTTGGGACACGTGACAGGTCCCAGAAGACTACAGGACCATTCATGAAGCTCAGCGCTACTCACGCATGCGCAGTGAGTACCTGGATGTGAAGCCACAAGCTATTACAGCCGGGTGCCCACACTGAAGATGCCGGCCTCCTGGAATACAGGACGGCTGGTGAAACAAGTTACGTGGGACACACCCTGCGGGACCGAGGGACAGGTAATTGGCTGTTTTATAAAAGTCAGCAGCTACAGTTTTTGTAGCTGCTGACTTTTATTTTTTGACAGGATGAGTGGAACTCTGCTTTAAGGAGCGGAAGGATCATCAGGATCAGCAGATAATAAAACTATGTTACAGGAGGGCTCAGAAAAACAGACTGCTGTGGTAATGCTGAATCCTATATGAATTTCTGGTGTCATCCACTTTGGTATGCTGTGTGGCAGAGCTGTGTAAATCTCAGGACTGGAAAAACAGAAATACATACCCTTTACTGGTGAAACAGTTCCTATATAAGGATTTTATCTGTGTATTTAGGAGTTCAGCTTAAAGCAGAACTCCGGATATCTAAATCCCAACATCCTCTTCCCGCCTTCCCCTATACATACCTTTACCTGCAATCTTCTAGCCAGTCCGATTACATTACGATATCTTCCTTTATCTTAGTCCCGTGGCAGTGGGGGGCAGAAGTTCTTTCTGAACTGAGCATCGCTCATGTAATGATGTGTGAGTGCCATGGAAGTACTATGAGTCCAGCATGCGTGGTGACCTGGCTACTAGGGAGGTGTGTAAATGACTGACTGGGCTCACAGAAAATGGATAGAATGACATTGCTTTCATTTCTTCACTAAGGCTCGGTTCACACTAGTGCGGGTGGACGCTGATGCAGGAACCGCACTTCATCCCCCAGCTGCAACCACCCGCACATAAAATGTGGGATCCATGGGCACATGCCATTAATCTTAATGGCACACTACCCGCACTGTAAATTACACCCACACTGCGGTTCCCAGTGCGGTCTGCAATTTCTGGAAAGGTGCAGGGAGCTTTTTTCCTGAGTTTTGCAAGGCTCAGCAGCCCTTTGAAATGGATGGTCTGCAGCCCACAAAACAGCACTAGTGTGAAATGATACTTAGAACCAGGGACGGACTGACCATCTGGAAACTCAGGCACTGCCCGAGGGCCCAGGGTCAGTAGGGGGCCCCATAAGATGCCCCTGGTACCTTTTTCATAGACTTTTTTGAGTTTGGGCAAGGACACAGGGGCCCCATGATCCCCTATTGCCCAGGGGCCTCATGAGTTGTCAGTCCACCCCTGCTTAGAACATTGGCGGTTTTGCACCAAGGAGGAAGGAATTTTTTTAACATAGGCAGGGGGGATGAAGGGAACTAAAAATGAAAAATTGTATAACCCATTCGCTGCCTTGTGCCATTCCCTCTAGAGAAGAAGAGGTCAATTAGAGTGGGTTGGACGAGTCGGCTGCAAAGTTACAGGGAATTAGAAGAAAGTTTGGCTTCCCAGAAGCTATTAGTATTCATTCGGATTCCAGACACATGGTTAGTGCAGGCAGGCCGAGCGCTAATGCAAAGTGACAGGCTGGGATACGTCTTGTGCCACGCAACACATGTGAAGACCAAAAGAAGCAAGCTAAGTGTTCACATCAGCCTGAAAAGGTCACATATTTCCCATTCAACGCACAGACAAGAGCTGGAGCGCAGAGCCGAAGGCGAGAACACGTGTCCCACTCCAGGCTGGTCCTGGCTTTGTCTGCCGTTCATGTTCATGCCCAGCAATGCTAATTACAAGGATTATTCTCAGTTAGGCACCTTGGCTGAAACCCTTACAGCTTTCAACCTGGCTCACCGCTGCCAGCAAAATCGGCCTTGTTTGTTCTGTTGGAGTGCCTTAAGAATAACACCAGGCGGCTTTATCCCTGCACCTCATTCCTATGTACTGATCCTAACTAGAATGGTTAAAGATGGCGATGTGTCTGTCTTGGTGGACTAGAGACTTTGAACATGTTATCACTGCACCAAATCTACTTTATTCAAATCTAAACTCCAGGCAAACAACTGAATGCACAGATGGATAAATATGAGAGCTGTTTTACCTACTAAAAGATTTGTACTTCTGTCCATCCGGTTATGATATTTACACAGCTCTGCTACACAACACAGCCCTACCTGGCAGCACAGGAGACCTGACTTTTCACTGTTGCAATTAACCACTTCAAGTCCGGACACTTTCACCCCCTTCCTGTCCAGGCCAATTTTCAGCTTTCAGTGCTATCACACTTTGAATGACAATTGCATGGTCATGCAACACTGTACCCATATGAATTTTTTAGCATTTTTTTGAGACAGATAAAACTTTATTTTGATGGTATTTATTCACCACTGGGATTTTTATTTTTTATTTTTGCTATATAAATGAAAAAGTCCAAAAATTTTGAAAAAAAGTGCTTTTCTTATAAAATTTTGCAAATAAATAATCTTTCTTCATAACTCTTCACCAAAAATAATTCAGTTATCATTTTAGAAAACAAAAAAATAACCCAAATTAGTTTATAACCAAAAATTATAATTTTTCTAAAAATTTTTTACATTTTTATTTATTCTTTTAAATATTATTATTTTTTTTTTTTTTTTTTTTTTTAACATACTGTCACCCTAGCATTACAGTGTCACCATAGTGACACTGTACTACTTGTGGGGGGTGAGGAAGATATTTTTTTTTTACACTGATTATTTTTACACCCATAAAGGCTGTAAAAGCAATCATTTCTCCTTCTCTCTGGCTGCATTCTTGCAGCCATTGAGAAATACTGTGTGAGCTGTGATTGGTCACAGCTTGTCACATAGTACAAGGCTGTTGTGAATAGTCTTGTACCATGTGACCTCTGTGATCATTTACAGATTTCACATGTAGTAGCAATGATGTCACAAGTGACATCTTGCTTACTACTATTCATGTGATCACTGATTGGCCAGTCAGTGATCACATGATCAGGACCTCACACAGAGGTCCCATACAGTGATTGCTATTCCGGACACAGCGGTCACTGGATCGCGGTGCCACGCGCTCCCAGGAAGCGCACAGAGACTAAAATGACGGGCGCCGTTTATGAACGGCAACCCGCTCTTGCACTGCTCCCGTCCAGCCATTTATATACATGGGCCAGACAAGAAGTGGTTAACGAACAGTTACAGGCCTGGTCTCTCCCCCAGCTTGTGAATGGACAGTAAAGAAAGAAGAAATAGCAGACCTCAGGATTGGTGGTCAGTAGGAGGAAGAGTGGTGCCCCATCATTGGTATTATTGGGAGGAATACTGCCCCATCATTGGTATTATTGGGAGGAATAGTGCCCCATCATTGGTATCAGTGGAAGAAATAGTGCTCCATCATTGGTGTCAGTGGGAGGAATAGTGCCCCATCATTGGTGTCAGTGGGAGGAATAGTGCTCCATCATTGGTGTCAGTGGAAGAAATAGTGCTCCATCATTGGTGGAAGGAATAGTGCTCCATCATTGGTGTCAGTGGAAGGAATAGTGCTCCATCATTGGTGTCAGTGGAAGAAATAGTGCTCCAGGTGTCAGTGGAAGGAATAGTGCTCCATCATTGGGAGTGGAGGAATAAGTGCCCCATCATTGGTACTATTGGGAGGAATAGTGCCTCATGTCAATGAGAGAAATAGTGCCCCATGGGCCGGATAAAGGCTAGCAAAGGGCCACATCCGGCCCTTGGGCCACAGTCTGGAGACCCCTGCCCTAGGGTGTCACAAAATAATGTGTACTTGGATGCTTAGTGTGAATAATCCCTCTCTCTTTTTCCTGTTACAGAAGGAGCAGCATTGATGTCCCCTGAGGGGTGGGGCCATGACATCCTGCGTTAGCAGCATGTACACAATGTTTCTGGCT